ATATAATTACCTGTACAATTATTTCAGAAAATTAGTTTCAAAATGTGAGCAGAGAACAAAACTTAATAAAGATAAAGAGTGCCAGTGCATAATAGAAGTTGCCGATAAAGGTTGCATCACACAAGATGTAATTAATTTCGATGATACAATGTGTGATAACATAGTACAATTCAAGAACTATTTACAAGAACACGAGTTGCAATCAGAAATAGACACTTTAATTAGAGAAAATGGAGATATGAAGAAGCAATTGGAAAAATACAAGTTAGATTTTGATATAATTGACAAAGAATTGAAAATAGAACGAGAAAACGAAACTTATACGCAGCAAATTGCATTTGAATTACAAAAAATGAGAGACACAGAATGTTGTCTACGTTATGAAAATGAACAACTGAAATCTGATTTGAAGAAGAGAACGAGAGAAGCAGAAAATTTAATTGGGAAGATGCATGTTTTTAAAGAAAATGATATAAAATTGGATAAATTAGTTATGGAATTGGAAGACAAACAAACACAAGTATTTATAAATGGACACATATTATTAATACTTTAGATTATAGATGTTTGGATAAGTTTATTTTGAATTTTCAGATCAGTAATTTTTACAAACAAATTAAGAATAATGAAATTGTTATGAAAAAACAAATTGAAACTATCGAAGGTCTTGAAAAAAAATTATTTAGAAGCAACGTCCAGGCTCAAGGGTATCTAACCGAGTTAAATGATGCGGAAGAAGAAATGTCAGCTCTACACGATAGAATACAATCCTTGAAAAACATGCTGATAGAAAAGTCAAATAACATGACTAAATTGCAAGCAGATTATGAAATGCTAAAGGTATCCCTAAATATAAATATAATTAAAAGAGCAGAACATTTAATGCTTAAATTCACAGATTCAAACATATGTTTAAAAAAAGTGAAACATTTTGTTATAGTTTGAACATTTTTGTTCTAGAATGATAATTCTATATTGAAGATGGAAAACAACGCATTTGAAAATAAATCAAAGGAAGATGTTTGCCTGTTGAAAAATAAGGTAAATAATTTTGTAAATAAGCATAATATTTAGCACTTCATAGAGATTATATATTTATTTTAGTTGAAAGAAATTCAAAAACAATTATGCTGTACCGAAATGAATTATCACAGAGTCACAGAGGATTTCCATGAGGTGCAAGAACAATTGGTAAAAATGACAAAACGTGAAGCAGATTTACAAGAATATTTGACAAACATAGTAATTATTATTTTCATGTATTTGCTAAAGGTACTGTAATGCTTTTATATAATGTTTTTTAATGTTTATTTATTACTTCAGGAAAAGGAATATTGCTCAAAAATATCAAATATGGAAAATGAGAATGCTAATCTTACAGACTGTTTAAATAAATTCAAGGATGAGTTAAACAATATTCAAGGGAATTATTTATCGAAAACTGATGATCATTGTAAACTCCAAGACATTTGTAAATCCTACGCCGAACAATTAGATATTTTTCAACAACAAGTTAAATAAATGAATTTAATTTATTAACATACTTATATTCTTTATTAGAAATAATAATTTATTCTATTTGCTGTATTTTCAGGTTGAAAAAGAACGAGAAAAATTGAAAGAATGCATGGAAGAAAATTGCCTTCTTATTAAGGAAAAAGCCATGGTGGAACAAAACAATTGTGAAATTATTTCCGAATTACAAGAAACGCATAAGTCATTATTAGAACTTAGAAAAGAATGTCAGCTGAAAAATAAATCTCTTGCTTGTATATCGGCAGAATTAACAGAAACAGCTAAGAGTAGGTCTGAACTTTGTAATCAATCTCAGTACATTGTCTCTTGCATTCGTATTTGGATGATGGAGCAACGAGACTATGTTAACAAACTCAGTTCCAAATTGAAGTGTCAGCAGCAACAATTACGAGAACTTGAGTTTGAGAAAAAGCAAGTACTTTTATTGTTTGCGATTACAAATGTTATTTAAATCATTTAGTTATTTTAATCTCTTAAAACCCATTGTACATTTTATTGTAGAACTCTTTTAGAAGAAACAAAGAAATTGAAACACCTATTAATTCAGAGATTGAAACGGATGAACAGATATAGTGGGAAGAATATTAAAAACGTTTGTATCGGTTGCCACATATTGCCTCCAGCTAGCACACAAAATTCTGGCACGCTAGTTTCCACAAATTCAAAATATCTGTACCCACAAAAAGTTAGTAAATTCTCAAAAACTAATTTCAATAAATTTTAACTTTTAATGTTTTCTTTTATCTAGAAATCGAATTCTACTAAGACAGCACGACGTATTTCAACGTATGGCCATACTTGGTTTTTTCCTAAAATGAAATACTTAACAAATGAGCTTCGAAAGAGTAATGTAGAGTATGAAGAAAATTTCTGTAACAGAGGAAGCACTGATTCAGCATTAGAAGAAAGTCGTGATTGTGGTTATCAATCGTCCGCCAGCAAATGAGAATAATACGAAACAAATAATTTTAATAGAATTAAAATAATTATCTTTTTTATTATACTATCTTTGAATTTTCTAATCGAACGTTATAATTTTCACTGTTAGTAGAAAAAGGTGCGTTCCTATAATTGATTTTCTTGAATCCAACTCAACGAGTTATCCAAATTTATAGTGAAATGATAAATTTCATGACATAATATATGTAATAATACAAGATTTTCCAAAAATACTTCATTAAATATTTCGAACACACGTTTACATTCTACCATAGAGAAAGCTTCGATACTGTTTGGAGGATTCTGAAACGAAAAATTGGCATATGCATGAAATAATTACATCGTAAACAGTTATTTTCTTAGAAGTTAGAGCAATATTATATAAAAAGATACAAACTAGCACAGCATGCACCAAAATACTTTCACGAAAATACTGAAACACTTCTTCGGCTGTACAATGTGGATTGGAAAGGAAAAATAAATGTGTTAAGTGGACAACTCCTAAAACTACTGAAACGGCTTTCTCTGTGAAAGAGTAAAATCTGAAACATGATTAATATTTATTTGCATTCACCGAGCAAGAAAAATTATATAGTAATAAATTTATACCTCGCAAATTTAAAAAATTCCCATAATACTTTGGCAAATATGTGATTACTTTTACCTTTATACCGATAAGAGAATATTTTATCTATAAAAAGGCATCACTTTCATTCAGAACATAATTATTACTTATAAGACACATTAGAGTATATTTGCAATAATTTACCAAAGAGAGACAGTCCCTCGCTCCTCTGACATTTCTTCAAATAAATTATATGTTTGTCTGTAAAATATTTCCAAATGCAAACTCCCGGCAATGGCGGTGTAACATACCGATCATAAACTGGATTTTTTGGATGAATCCATGCCCCACATAAATCGTCATAATTTACATTTGTTTCAATGTAGATGTCCGAGCAGACTTTTCGTGGAATTTCACTTTGAATGCTTGGTATTATACGTTCCGATAAGGTACATGATTTAATATGCAGTATTGATTCTAAATTATCTGTTTTAATATGATCATTTGTTATCATAAATTTAGTCGACATTATTCGAAATTACTGCGTTTAACTGTAATCTCTAACTGAGCGAACATCGCACATATAAAGATGTTAAACTTTTGAATTCAAATTCGTAACAAAAATCGCAAGTAATAATACCAACATCTTGCAGAAGTTTATAAAATGTGTACACGTTGGTAACACTGTTACTTGACGAGCTGCTATTTCCTTTTACTTTGTAAAAAGCGCGAAATATTTAAGGGTGTTTTCATAATAAATTAAATTATTTCTCAAGAATTCTATTCTATTTCTGTTCGCATCGAAATAATAGATTTATTTATATGCGATCTTTTTGGACGAGAGTGAACGGTGAATGTGACGGAGCCGATAATAATATTCACAAGTTTATTCTTTCTCTTGTGTAATCATTTATAATTTATCATGAATTATTGAATAAAATTAATATACAATATATTTCGGAGCAAAAATTTGTTATACATGTTTACAAACTAAGAAAGTAAATACATAGGTAATTAGCAGCAGGAATGGCCTACTATCTTACAAGATGTTTTGCGTGCCAAAAATTCATCATACATTGTATATTTTAAATGTATATTATTACTAATATTAATATTATTAATAATCAATTTACCATTAATATTATCATTATTACTTATTACCATTAACATTACTTATTATATAAATCATATTAATTATATATGATTTATAGTATAATCGTATTTATATATTTATATATATATTTATATTTATAACGAACACCGCCCATTACTACTAGAATTACAAATGGGAGTTCACCAAATCTCTCTCTCTCTCGCTCTCACTCTTTCTCGTTCTCTCTCTCTCTCTCTCTCGCTCGTTCTCTCTCTCTCTCTCTCTCTCGCTCGTTCTCTCTCTCTCTCTCTCTCTTCCTTTTTTCGATAGATCTGATACTCAAAATAGATGATATATCTTCGAATGAAACGTGATACACGCATTTTTCTAAATTAATCACTCAGGCAAAAATGTTCGTCCTGCATAGTTCACCTCCCATTCCATAATAGTGGCATTTTTCCATCGTTTTACGTTCCATTCAAATTCAATGCGGACACATTCATGGTGTACTTATATTTTTGGATTATGGTACATATCTGCAAGCAAAAAGTGGTGCGCTCCTACAGTGATTTATAAAACAAATTACATCTGAGAAAACAATGAAATTTGTACTTAATTTACAATGTTATCTGTTATAAGAGAAGAACAAAATAGACTATAAATATTCAAAATAATGCACGTTTATTGTTCAAAAATTGCAGTTATGAAAATCTATCATTAAAAATTTAAACAGTTAATATTTCTGAGAATAGTGTGTAAATGCAATGAATTACATAGCAACCATTGATATAGGTTTTAGTAATAAATTTTCATGATCAGAAAGTCGTTGTAACTAACTAAGATTGATTGTTAGCAGTATTAATTAGTAACAACGCCCCTCAATAGTCGCATTTTTGTTATTAAAAGATCAAAATATTTACGCACATGTAAAAATTAAATTATCATAATCATAATCATTTAAATGCATGTCAATGTACATTGGTATATGGTTATAAGTACCAGTAATACTTATTTGAACAAACTGACTCCCTTTTTCAATGACTCGCAAAGATACTCGAGCAAGATTCCCAACTCAAAAATTCAGGTTATATTTAGGAATATGTAGAGCATATATAATTGTACTTTATAACTCAGAAATTATAACAGACAGAGAAGATTGAAGGCAAAAATTACACACACACACGTATATATGTTCTTAAAAATTGATGGTCACGTTAAAAAACCTACATCGATGGTTTAATATAACTCAAACAGAATATTCTACAATGAAGTAATTAAATTACCATTAATCATGCTTATAAGTAAATTATGGTTACACTATATTAACTTACCTAGGAGGTGTTTCAAATAAATCTAATGT